GTCTCTCCCAGCTTCCTTCTGGGACAACTGATGTAAACACTTGGTTGAAACAAGCTGATGTCCTCCCAAGAAGCCCAGTGTTGTAAGCAATAAGTGGCAACCTTGGACCTGCTGTTGATTCGGGCATAATGTGAACTCTGTTGATTTGGAGGTTGTCTGTGATATCGACTGCTCTCCTTGTGAACCGCACAAGGTTGCAGCCAGTATCCTGCGCTTTTTGGTAATATGATCGCCACTCGGACGCGTCCCACGGCGGCGGATCAGGGTCTAGCAACTGAAGATTTCCAACGAATTTGGAGCTGCCTTTCATGTTGACAATGCTGGCAACTTTTTGCCCATCGATCCGCAGATCTACCGTGATGTATTCAGGTGCTAGGCGAAGTGCGTGTAGCACATATGAGATGTAAATGGTTCGCCAGAATTTATCAACCACGGCGGCTTCGGGAAATGCCACGTGAAGAAATATTGGGATGACGGTGTCACGCCTCACTTGGGCAACGATACGGCTGATTTCGCTAGCCCTTTGAGGGACCAGCTGACCCAGCGATCGTAACTTGTCGGCATAGTCCGTAGTAAGATCGTCCACCACTATCTCGATCGCGTCTGCCCCTGTCTCAAGTTCTTGGATGTCGAGGTTTCCTTCAAGAAGCGAGGAAAGCGGCAAAGAGACAGCGTATGTGAACCGGCGCTCTTCCGCAGGCACACACGCCAGCGGAAAAGCAGACTCAATGAACGGGATGGCGCCTCTGGGTAAGATTAACGACAGAAATTTTAGAAAATGACGTTCGGCGCGTTTGAGTGTAAGATATGGTGCCGCGGGCCTGTCATGGTCTGCAGTTGTCGGCGAAGGGAGACGGCCATTCAGGGGTTCGCCAGATTTGTTGTGATCCTCGGAGGCGTTGAAAAACTCAAAGCGGGTACAGCTTCTGAATATGGCGCTGCTTGCATCCAGTAAATCACGGAATTTGTGGTTGTCGCTGACCTTTAGATGGCTCTGAATCGCGCTCGGGTCACGGAGAATGTAGATGACTGGATGAGTTCTGCCCCATTCTTCGAGAATGGCTTGCACACTTCGTTCCATCCAAGAACTGACTATGATAGCATTCCGGCCGTGTTTTTGCAACACTTGATGAAGAATCGCGGCCTGGCGTCTTTGGCAGGCAGCAGCGCCATGCATTTTCTTGTATGCTGGGCTGAACGAGCCCGTAGTCTCGTGGAAGGTCTTCTCTAAATCCACAACCTTGCGTTTCAAGGCGGTCGACGCCATGATAGCCAGCGTGGACTTGCCCGCGCCGCGAATGCCAGTGATAATGATGGAAGCATCTGCATCAAACTGAGGAGCAGGTAGGGTGGAGACATTGTGCAAAGGTGAGTGAGATACTGAGCGTGATACTAGTAGACCATGATTAGTTAAATGAGTCCCGAGCGAACGAGCTGCCGAACTCACCCGGTACATTTGGATCTTGGTTATCCGACGTCCAAGGCCGGGACGGAGGCCGGATCCGGGGGAGCTCCTCGTCCCGAGCGGTGGCCATCGTTGCGTATGAACGCTTGGTGCCAGTCACCACCGACGAGGCCATTGTCGGCCGAGGTCGCGTGCGGGGGGGGGGAGGATAATTACAGATCTAGCTCAAGTACCCAGGTAGCGCCGTAATGATGGACAAGAAGACGAGAACAACAGTACTACGAATATGCCCCAGTGACCGATCAGGTTGTCAAACTGCCGAGTCTCCGGAGCGCCCGAGCTGTAAACCAAGACTGCATGCTCAAGGGGAAGCAGCTTGTAACTTTGAAATTCCCACGGGCGAAGATCAGATGCTGATGCAACATGGAAATTCTGGGGCGGAAAGCTGGAAACACAGAATGAACAGTGGAGAATCCAGTGAGAACAGGGCACAGGGGTCACTGCCAGACGGTCAGTGCCCGGGGATAAACATTTACCCCACAGTTGCGCCCGTCTGCAGTTGCAAACAATACCAATTGCCGGATGCGCTTGAGGATTTTTCCATCGATTGACTTCCATCGGCAGGACCTCTCGAAGAGAACTCTCCAGCCAATCTGTTTCTTGGCATGAAATAACCGTCCACTGTGAAGCCACTGGAAGCTTGTTGCAGCTGTCAATCCCCACAGTCTCTTTCTTTGCTCCATCCACATCTTGATTCTTCCCCATCACTTTCATCCCGAATCCGCACCTGTCAAGCTTCCCCGCAAAATCGGACCCCGCCTAGTGTCCTCAGTCCGATTACGGGGTACCTGAGCCATGCTGCAGTGCAGGTTCTCTTGAACGGTCATCGAGAATCATCATCAATTTGTGGAGTACAGAGACATCACGGAGACTCGCACAAGCATAACGACGCTGTAGCACGACTAGGACGGCCAGGCTGAACGGTTTTCCGGCTTGTTGGACATGAGACGACAACGACCCAGACTGCCGAGTTGCGCAACTGTCTTTGCCCGTCAAGAAGGGCACCCCCCATCTTTGCCATGCCTCCTAAGCGAAAGGCGACTGAGATAGAGAACTCCAAAAATACCGAACCTGCCGCTCCCCAACCGGCTCCAGGTCCAACTACAGCTCTAGGTAAACGCCAAAGGGTTTCGAGAGCTTGCGATCAATGTCGTGCCGCAAGGGAAAAATGTGATGGCGTACGACCTCAATGTTTTCCCTGCGTCTCACAGAACCGACCTTGCACATACGAGGTCAATCCTAAGAAGAGGGGGGTGGCAACTGGCTATATACGTACACTCGAACTTGCCCTTGCCTGGGTCTTCGATCAGGTCCCTGGCGCCGAAGAAGCTTTAAATACGGCCCTTGCCCAAGAAAATGGCCGTGTTCGCGCACTCATTACCGGAAAGGATATTGGAGCAGCGGATCATCTGCATAAAAAATGGAGAAAAAGTCGGGCACATCGAGGGATAGACCACATTCTTTCGGGGAGCAGTGATACGCCATATCCATCCCGTGATGAGCGCTCCCCATCTCCAGATGCCAGTTGCACTGAAGTCGAGCCCAGCACGGTGAGTCCTCACCCGGGTTCGGCCATGGCTGATGATACCATGGTCCCTGGGCTTCTGGATTCTACAGCTGTGACTTCGACTCATCAATTACAACATAGAAAACCGGACCGAATACCTGACGCGGCGTCGGGCCTTAAACCAGCCTCGTTTTCATCAAAGCGCCTTAAACTTCCCTCGAATCATTGGCGCCTCCTGGACATATACTTCTCGTACACACATTCTTGGTTGCCCATTCTCGAGAAACAGGCACTTTTCCAGACCTCTTATCTTTATGCCGAGGATGGTCTCGAAATTTCTTCGGATGCTCCCAACTCCGCAGCCCATGCTGAATTGTGGTCTGCTTTGGCACTGGCATCGCTTCAGGATGCGGCCTGCTCAGAATCTGTCTCCGTCGAGACGGCTTATTGCCTTTGCCCAAAAGACATATATGGTATCGCCCGTGGCCTAGTTCCTTCGGAATATGGGCCATTTCAGATCAATCATGCAAGAGCCCTGGTGCTTCTCGCTCTGGTTGGTCTCACTCGGGGTGATCCGAATTGTGCTTCACTACTAATAGGATCCGCCATCCGGATTGCTTTCAGCACGACTGATCCTCCTGAGCGAGTTAATTCTGATAAGGAGCAACAAAATATACAAGCCGTGTTGATGGCTTGCTTCATTGTGGAAACTATTCTTTCTGTCCGCTATAATATCCTCCCTCATCTGAGAGACGAAGCTGTTTCGTGCATGGCCCCATTAACAGAGGACGGAATGGACCAATGGTATGCGTGTTTATTTTTCATTTTGTCCAAACGTTCAACTAACCTCAATAGGGAGCCATGGACACCATGTGAAGGTTTTGGAAGCAATCTGGCCAATGGTCGCCAATCTAGGAATCCAGCTTTCTGTATTAGTACCTTTAACCAAATTCATGAGATATTCAAGGTTGTTTCCCAGGATCTTTCAGCCAGAAGACGGGGAGTTTCCGCTCGAGAGCGGACACTGATCTCTATTGGTCGTTTACAACAATCTCTCAACCCCAACTCGCCATTTGGGAACTTGTTGGCGCCAGGCGTAAACCCGCTTGTGCCCACATTTTCCATTATCCGAGCAATTTACCTTTGGGCCAGCATACTCGCTGACCCCTATTCGGACCCGCCTATCGCTACTCTCAAAGACACGCTCAACCAATATCAAAAACGATTTGGGCAATGCTCCATTCCTTCTATTCTTTCGGCATGTGTAGCATCTCTTGCAGGAGAAGCCCATTTGACAGTCCACGGACCGCAGCATAGGGAACAACTGAGGGACTTGGCATTGACTTACGCATCTACGGCAGCAGGTGAAGGGCAGTACAGTTCAATGACCTTTACTTCACATCTTGGGCTGGCATCACCATCAACAGACAGACAACAAGATGTTATATCATCATCCAAATTTTCCGGGCCAGTCAACCCAGTCACGGCAATACCGTATCTTGCAGCAGGGTCGTTTTACCCTAACCAGATCATGCCCATGTCACAACACCCTCAACAGCGCGACGGATCTTACGGGAACCTTACGAATCAGAGACTAACTAATCCTTATGACCACCGCCGGTCCAGTGGTTCGCCGCCACCGCTGCCGCGAACTGACTCAATCGACATGCAGCTGGGCCCCAGTGTGACTTACAGGATGGCTAACGTTGGTCAAAATCACAATCAACTAATACCACAGGGATTTGGTGGTAATCCAGACTACGATGCGCTCCTGGATGATCTTGCATCCATTGAATGTACCGACGCGATCGATGTTGACCCTCAGTTCATGACGAACTTGGGTTTTGCTCCTGGATGTGATATGGCAGAGATATTTACGAGAGATTTTGGCGGTGTATAGTGATGGTGTTTAGATACCTATAGTTCTTTGTATACAGTAGATGAGCGCTCTCTGTTGTAAGGCTGGAGAGGAGGGAAGCCGTCGTATTGAGGGCTCATCGCGACGAAGATATCCAACAAATGCAACAAGGCAAGATGGCCGAGCGGTCTAAGGCGCCACGTTAAGGTGATTTACCCTTAATCAACATCCTAACACTGGATTCCGTGGTCCGAAAGGGCGTGGGTTCGAATCCCACTCTTGTCATGGCAGTAAATACCTCATATGAGCGTTCATTTTTTGCGTGATTTTTCTCCCCAAGTTTTTATGGTTTGAATTTGATTGGGACATTGAGAGAGAAGGGTTGTGAAAGTCCAGGTTGTTGACTTTGAACTTGATGCTAAATAACTAAGGGAGGTGTGCAAGAAATTCATGGGTTGTTTTAAATTGAAGATTGCAGAAGAAATTTCAGGCCAGAGAGACGGGAGGGACACTTTGCTTTCAAAAGTCTCAACACCATTGCTTCCCTGGAAGTTTTGCATGCAGTCCAACAAGTAAAACTTTATTACTATCGAGGTAAAAACAGGACCGTTTCAGGAGCACGAGGCCCACCCTCGAAAACAGCAAGAAATAAACTTGGGAAGAGAAGTTTGTAGTAAGTACTGTTCATTTGTTTGTATATGTTGATCAAAAATATTATTTTGTAAAGAGAGTAAAGTAAATATGTAAATATATTAATTCGCCTAAAGAAAAAAAAAAGAAAAAAAAAAGAAAGAAACCGTTTCCCTTCTTTTTTTTCTCACCGAAAACAGAAATATATCAAAAGAAAAAGAATTGATTGCTTGTTAAAAGTTTCAAAGGTTACTGGGTTTTTTTTTTCTTTCACACTAAAGAAAAAAAATAAACGCAAAAAAGAAGGAATGAAAATGCATACGAAAAAAAAAAAAATTTTGAAAAAATTTAAATTTCGTTTCAAGATATTTATCTTATGGACATACGGATATATCAAAACTTGATGCCCACTATCAGAATCGAACTGATGACCTTATCATTACTAGTGATACGCTCTACCACTGAGCCAAGCGGGCTACTCTGAAAGTTCTTTTTGATCCCGCATCACAGCAACTTATCAATCAGACTGGGATTTGCTGCCTATTACGTGCTATGCTTGGTATTGATTCGTCTTTGATGCTTTTGTTTAAACATTAAATTGTCAGGACTTATGGCATCTGCGGCCCTGCTTGTGTCTAGATGAGATGATGCTGTGTAATGGTTAAGACAGTAGTAGTAAATAAGTGAGAGAGTAAAAATCCGTGTGATATGTTTGTTGTTGTAATGGAGATTAAAAAACAGGGGAAGCAGTGAGTGAGTGGAAGGATGTTAGAGAAAACTTGTGATAATGCTTCCCTCTATACAGGTATCCAGCTTTTCTAACTCGACTGAGGGTGGAAGAGATGTGATTGTGCAGTGTTTTCAGCGGGTTTCTTGAAACAGACAACTGCAAAAAAAAACCCCAAAAAAACCAAAAAAAACAAGAGAGTGTAAGAGACAAGGTAGTTTGAGAATAGATGACTGCGGTGATAAGGGTAAAAGATTATCGATGCATTCTCATTTCTGAACGACCAGATTGTTACACATGAAGCGTTAAATAAGCTCTCAAAAAAAAAGAACTCGAAATAGTCAGTCACATCAGACCACCCGCTCCAAGCGCCAACATAAAACATATGCCACTGACAACCCCCTATTATTTCTTCACAACAGCAGCAGCCGCCTGTTCACCAGCAATCCGCCCAAAAACAACACACTCCAACAACGAACTCCCTCCAAGCCTGTTATCCCCGTGCAAACCCCCCGTAATCTCTCCAGCAGCCCAAAGTCCCTCAATAGTCTTCTCTCCTCCCTCCTCATCCCCCAATTTAGACCTCAAAATCTGTGACCGTTCATTAAACACCGCCCCTCCCATGCAAAAATGCGTAATGGGCGTCACCCTTCCAAAACAAACTTCCTTTTCCCCTTCTTCTATTTCCTCAGGTTTCAAACTCCAGTGTCCGAATTCTTTACGACCAAACGAATCCTTCGTTTGCCCGGCGACAATTTGAGCGTACTCGAATAATGTTTGTCTTGTCTGAGAATCCAACTCCTTCATCTTCTTCTTTTGTAGCAGACCCTTCCAGAGATAAAACCCAACATGCCCTGCTGCTGCGTCGGTAGCTCCAGGATCTAATAGCAGCTGGACGTCCCATTGTCGTAGTGTACTCCCTTCATCTTGAGCGGGTGGGAGTGCCATTATGGTGTTGCTGACTTTCTCTCTCGTATCTAACTCGTTGAAAATTCTCTTTCCTTTGTGGAGTAAAATCCCGCCCTCACCGCGCAACATCTCAGCTGCGAGGAATTTGACCCGACTGTCTGGACTGGCTGGGTCTACAAAACCAGTGGGGTGGATCTGAACACTGTCCATATCTACCAGCTGAGCACCTACTTCAGCCAGGATACTGTGCGCTCCAGGTCTGGGATCGTTGGTTGAAGGCATGCCATCCAGGTCCGGTCGGTACTTGGCTAGTAAACCGTGCGTATCACCTGCGAAGCCTCCTGTGGTGAAGATTACTGGCCCTTGGATGGTTTGTGGCGGTTCCGAAGAAGAGAGTTTATATTCCACTCCGGTGACTTTGTTGTCGTCGTCGGTGAGAAGCATGGTAACTTCACAATTCGTAAGTAACTGGAATTTATCTTCTCCTTGTTCCTTGAGCTTATTAAGCATTGCCGTAATGATAGCTGCCCCTGGGGGTGTTTTGCCTGCTCCTCGATGGGTGCGGGGGTAGCTGTGTCCTCCCAGCAAAGCGACGACGCTGAGGTCGACGCCTAGGTCAACTAGAAAGTCGATGGCGCTCGCTGAACGGTTCGTGAGGGTGGAAATAAGTGCTTCGCGGTGTTTTTGATCGCTGACAGATGCGTCACGAAGCCGGGCTCCAGCGGACCGGACAGTATCCTCCCAGAAGGATTCATCGATTCCTAGCTTCGCAACAGGCTGGAACTGCGTCGGTGCGCCATTGATTCCCGAGGAAGCTTTGATGCTGTTGCCACCTGGTTTGGCTGCGCGCTCAAGGAGGCGAACGGATGGTGCACCTGCTCGGAGGGCTGATAGGGATGCAGAGAGTCCTGCGAGGCCTGCGCCGACCACAATTACTGGTCGGGTATTTGGTGTAGCCATGTCACCAGTGGTAAAAGATGATGGAAAAGTAGATTGTTGATTCGTATAAGTGAGGCGGTGGAATAACACGGCCGTAAAAGGTATCAAGACACTCAGTAACACAACAAATAGAAGACGGCGTGTTGTCATGACACTTTCCATAAGTCTTTGCGAATTGCAAAAAAAAAAGCACGAAAAGAAATGATCTAAAGAGATGAGGCGGAGACAACCAGTTCTTATGCCTTCAAATGATGGTTAAGTGTTGAACAGCTTATTGCGTGGTCCTTCCCGAATGTCGTCCAAAGTCGGGGAAGAATCAGGTGATATTCGATTGATCTCGAAAGGTGTCTTGCGCGATTCGCCGTCTAACCGCGCCGGGTTTCTAGAAGGCCCAATACCGGGACCGTGCGAAGGAGAAGAATCATCTCGAACTCTCATAATTTTATTTCTACGTGTTGCGGCGATTGACAGAAAGTCTGAGGGGGAAAAGTTGCACGACTGATTGATGCGCAACGATAGACACTGGATCTCTCATTTGACAGTACAAGTCAAAACACAGCATAAACTCCGACTCGACGAAACCTACCACGACAGACAAATCTTGTACAGCCCTCCTGTCGCAAGCTGCATGCATAGTGCAAGTTACAATTGCAAATATTAAATATAAGCCTTATTGCATGGCCTTGTCCGCCCATCAAAAATCCCAGAGCAATCGAGAGAGAGTGCTGCTGTTGTCAACTCAGACCAAATGCTAATTGAGCTGCAGATGTCAGGCCACTGCAAAATAAGAAACTCAAGCCAAGCCCAAGCTCCTTGGCATCCCAACAAGGGCAGCGCAACTCTCGGCCTCTAAATACTTATCATGGCAGCACGTGCTCCATGCCTCCATCAATAACCACGTATCCTCAGGGGTTTGATTGAGGATTAAAAGTTGATCCTCAACCCTCAACAGAGCAGAATCCACTTCACCAAGTCCAAAGAATCCATCTTTCTGGATCCCGTCCATCAAACCCCATAACAGCCAGCCAAGGATCAAGGGAAAGCGGCAATTGCATTTTGCCCAAAATTGGAAACCTGCCACTGGAAAACCCCCCCCCCCCCAAAAAAAAAAAAAAAAAAAAAAGAGAATCCCCAGCATCACAGATCCAACAAAGGTGGATACCAAACCATTTCCTAGAACTACGGTTCCCTTCCAAACGTCAACTCACAAAAAAATTAACGAGGAAAGAAGAATCGGGGAAATTTTCAGGATGCCTTTTTTGTGAGTGGTGAAATAGAAAAAGAACAGGCGTAATTGTGGTATCCATTCCCCGTGAAGTGGAATGCAAGTACAATCGCTATCATCTCTAATACACTACCCCAAACAGTAGTACATCCGTCGTAAATTGTGGCATTTCATGAACGCCTCGCCCCTCGAATCAGAATCGCACTGATCTGTCGAGATTAAACAACGTAGAAAATGTGTCGCCCGTCCAAACGGGAAAAAGAACCTTTCCGGTGTCCCAAAAATCCGTGATATTTACCCAACCAATGAAGAAAACCCCTGCTGATCCTATGATCCCCATCCCCCAGACCGCTGTTGAAAGAGAAACGAGAAGCATTTACTTAATCATGACGAAATTTATTTGTTCAAGCCCTAGATTCCCGGGTGGCAGCCTTGGCAAGTCTGATCTCACGGCCCTTCTCAGACCAGGGGAAGTGAAAGACGGGAATAAGGAAGAAAGAGTTGCTATATTACAAGCATTGCGTCAGCGATTAAGCTCAAAAAGAAAATAGGGTCACCGGATCTGGCGGGGAGATCGTCGCCTTGGCAGATGCAACAGTGCCATCAAGTAATAAGGGGAATGCGGGGTAGTAGTGAGGGAGAAGCTAAAACAAAAGTAGAAAACATACCTGCTGTCGGCAATACCGGCAAACGCATTATACCAGGCCAAAAATGCAGCGATCATACCGAAACCGCCACCAGCCTTTTGGAGGTGGCCAGCCGCAGTTGTGGCTCCGTTGTTCACGGCAAAGTCTCCGCAGGCAAGCATGAGGAAGGCAAGGTCCAGGGTGAAGAACAGGAGGAAGAACATGACCG